TTTATTGATTTTTTAAACTTTATCGTAATTATTTTTACTATTTACGATATTAGCAAAAGAAAAATTTTAATTTTATAGGAAAGCTAAAAATTAATACTAATTTTTGTTTTAAAATATTTAGGCAACATTTGAATTTTAAATATTTTTATTAATGTTTTAAACTTTATCGTAAATTTTTCTTATATTTAGGTTTTTTGGAATTTAAAAATTTTAATTTTATATGAAAGCTAATGTTTTAAGCTAATTTCGATTTTCATTTGTTTAAGCAAAATTTGAGTTTTACATATTTTTATTAATTTTTTATACTTCATCATAATTATTTATAATATTTACGATATTAGAAAATTATAAATTTTAATTTTATAGGAAAGCTAAAAATTAATACTAATTTTTGTTTTTAAAAATTTAGGAAAATTTTGAGATTGAAAATTTTTTTTAATGTTTTAAACTTTATCGTAAATTTTTTTCATTTTTCATATTAAGGTTATTCGGAATTTAAAAATTTTAATTTTATATGAAAGCTTGTATTTTAAGCTAATTTCGATTTTTATTTGTTTAAGCAAAATTTGAGTTTTACATATTTTTATTAATTTTTTAAACTTTATCGTAATTATTTTTACTATTTACGATATTAGAAAATAAAAAATTTTAATTTTATAGGAAAGCTAAAAATTAATACTAATTTTTGTTTTTAAAAATTTTGGGAAATATTGAATTTGAAACATTTTTATTAATTTTTTAAAACTTTATCGTAAATTTTTCTCATATTAAGGTTTTTTGAAATTTAAAAATTTTAATTTTATTTGAAAGCTAATGTTTTAGGCTAATTTTGATTTTCACTTGTTTAAGCAAAATTTGAGTTTTACATATTTTTATCAATTTTTTAAACTTTATCATAATTATTTATAACATTTACGATATTAGAAAATAAAAAATTTTAATTTTATTGGAAAGCTAAAAATTAATATTAATTTTTGTTTTTAAAAATTTTGGGAAATATTGAATTTGAAACATTTTTATTAATTTTTTACAACTTTATCGTAAATTTTTCTCATATTAAGGTTTTTTGAAATTTAAAAATTTTAATTTTATTTGAAAGCTAATGTTTTAGGCTAATTTTGATTTTCACTTGTTTAAGCAAAATTTGAGTTTTACATATTTTTATTAATTTTTTAAACTTTAACATAATTTTTTCTCATATTTACGATATTACGAAATTAAAAATTTTAATTTTATAGGAAAGGTAAAAATTAATACTAATTTTTGTTTTTAGAAATTTAGGAAAATTTTGAGTTCTACATATTTTTATTAATTTTTTAAACTTTATCATAATTATTTTTACTATTTACGATATTAGCAAAACAAAAATTTTAATTTTATATTAAAGCTAAAAATTAAAACTAATTTTTGTTGTTAATAATTTAAGCAAAATTTGAATTTTAAAGATTTTATTAATTTTTTAAATTATTTTTTTATAATTTATTTCAAGTAAAAAAAACCAGTTGGTCTTATTTCCCTCTTATTTGCTGACTCATTCATGAGTATGTGAACCACTAAACCGCTAAAGAGTTTAACTATTCAAAACACCAACAACTAAAGCATTTTAAACCAAATTGTGTTTAAATGTAACCGGCTTTAAAAAGCATCAGAAGCTTTGAAATGCTGATGGCATGGTAGTTGTTGTTATTTTTTTTTTTCTTATTTTCTTGATTACTTTTCTTAGCTTTTGTTTTCTTTAACGTTGATTTTTGGCTAAAAAACTGCTAACTGACCTACATCAATTTTTTAAAAGTTTTTTGTTTTGTTGAGATTTTTAAAGTAATTTATGTTAAAATATTAAACAAAAAACTACTTTTGTTAGACAGTGTGTTAATGACTCAAAAGTCTTTTTTTTTCCAACTTTGTTTGAGTTTCTTTGGTTATTTACTTAGCTGCCGCTTATGATTTTTTTTATTTTGTTTTACAATTGCAACATGTGGTATTTTGTAAAGATTTTTTAATTATTATTGCTTTTTTTTAAGCTTAAATAATGAATTAAAACCAAAAATTAAACAGTAATGAGAGTGCTTAAGAAAAAAAATCTAACAATAATAGCACATAGACGTTTTAAGGTTTTAAGTTGAAAAATTTTGTTTTAATTTTTTTAATATTTTTTTTTTTAAATCACAAAAATTTTGTTTTATAATTGTTGTTGTTGTTGTTGAACAACAATTATTAATGTACAAAATTGTTAATTGTTTTAGAATTGTGTGTATAAAAATTGTGCAATTTTATTCGGTATACTTGTGTAGGCAATTATACTTAAAATTAAATTCCTCGTTTGACCTTATTTTTTGCGTAAATTCTTTAATAATTTCTTTCAAATATTTTTCCTATAAAATTTCAAGCTTAACAAGTTCATTAACTTAATAGCATATATGATAAATATATATGTTTAACCTTTAAACTAACTAAATAATTTAAAGTATAAAGGAAAACTACTATTCATGTAAAAAATTTTTAAAAATATTTTTATTACTCCTAAGAAAACAAATTATATATCAAATGAAAGCTAAGAAACCATACTAATTTTGATTTTTAATTAATTTTCCTTAAAATGAAGATTTCCGAATTTATAAGCCAAAACTTTAAGAAAATATTTTGTTTTAGGAAAAATTGTTGTCAAGTGAAAAAATAATTTTTTAAATTTTTTTTCTTATTTAAAAACAAATGCTAAATATACCAAATGAAAGCTAAGACTCAATACTAATTTTAAAAGACTCAATACTAATTTAAAATTTTTGAAATTGTGAACAAAAATAGAATGCAAATATTTTGCTTTAGACAATTTTTTTGCATTTTAAGCCAAGGAAAGGTAATTTTAACAATTATTTCTATATTTGATAACAAATGTTATTATATATCAAATGAAAGCTTAGAATCAATACTAATTTTGATTTTTAATAATTTTACTAAAACTGCTAAACTTTTCATATTTTTAGCAAAAATGTAAAGTTAATTTTTATTTCTGTGAAAAATATGATTAACAAAGTAAAGGTAATTTTAGGAATTATTTCCCAAAGTGATAACAAATAGTTTTATATATCAAATGCAAGCTAAAAAACAATATTAATTTTGATTTTAAATAATTTTTCCAAAACTGTTAAAATTTTCATATTATAAGCAGAAGTTCAATAGCGTTAAATATACAATAAATTTTCAAATTTCAATTTTCAAAGAGAAATTGTATTTTTTAGATTTTTGTATAATTGTTAACAAATGGTATAATATAGCAAATTTAAGTTTAGAATCAAGGCTAATTTTGATTTTTGTTAATTTTTGAAAAAATTTTAAATTTCATATTTTTTGCAAATTTTTAAAGAAAAATTTTGTTCATCAAAAAATGTATTTTTTTAAATTTTATTTTTTTAAATATTTTTTAAAAATATTTTTGTTAAAGATAACAAACTAATTTGTATAGCATTTGAAAGCTATGAGTGTAAACTAATTTAGATTTTGCTTAATTTTGTAATATACCCCTTCCTACAATATTATATCATTTAAATTATATGCAAAAGTTTAATTTCGCTTAGTAGGAAAAATTTAATTTTCAAAGAGAAATTGTGTTTTTTAGATTTTTTCCATAATCTTCAACAAATGTTATTATATAGCAAATGAAAGCTTAGAATCAGTGCTAATTTTGATTTTTGTTAATTTTTGAAAAAATTTAAAATTTCAATTTTTAAGCAAATTTTTAAAGTAAAATTTTGTTAACCAAAAAATTTCTTTTTTTTTAATTTTCTTTTTTAAATATTTTTAGTAAAGATAACAAACTAATTTGTATAGCTTTTGAAAGCTAAGAATGTAAACTAATTTTGATATTGCCTAATTTTGCAATATACCTCTTTTTACCTTATTAAAGCAGTTAAATTATGTGCAAAAATTTATTTTCGCTCTTTAGGGAAAATTTAGTTTTCAAAGAAAAATTGAATTTTTTAGATTTTTTCTATAATCGCTAACAGATGCTATTATATAGCAAATGAAAGCTTAGAATTAAGGCTAATTTTGATTTTTATTAATTTTTTAAAAAATTTAAAATTTCTTATTTTAAGCGAATTTTTAAAGAAAAATTTGCTTCACCAAAAAATTTTTTTTTTTAATTTTATTTTTTTAAATATTTTTTTAAAATATTTTTAGTAATGATAACAAAATAATTTGTATAGCATTTGAAAGCTAAGAGTGTTTACTAATTTTGATTTTGCTTAATTTTGCAATATGCCGCTTTTTACCATATTATATAATTTAAATATGAGCAAAAGTTTAATTTCGCTAAATAAAGCAAATATAATTTTCAAAGAAGAATTGTACTTTTTAGATTTTTTCCATAATTGCTAACAAATGGTATTATATAGCAAATGAAAGCTTAGAGTCAGTGCTAATTTTGATTTTTGTTTATTTTTGAAAATTTAAAAAATTTTATATTTTAAACAAATTTTTTAAGGAAACATCTTCACCAAAATTTTTTTTTTTTTAATTTTATTTTTTTTTTTATATTTTTTAAAAATATTTTTAGCAAAGATAAAAAAATAATTTGTATAGCATTGGAAAGCTAAGAGTGTTTACTAATTTTGATTTTGTTTTATTTAAAAAAATATCTTTGTTTTACAATATTATATCATTTAATTTGCCAAAGAAAAGAAAACTTGTTTGTGTTTTTTTTTCTGGTCTTGTTTTATAAGTAATTTTCTTTTATTTAAAAAATTTTCCTTAAACACACAGATTTAATTAAACTAGTTTTTGTTTTTTTTTTTCATCAAAACCCACTACATGTTTTCCATTTTAAAAGAAAACTTAAAAACACATAAACCTGATTAGTTGTTGGTTTTTTTCTCTTCTTATAAAGTTGCAAATGTAACAAATTTTCAAACGTTACCAAAATTTCAAATTATGTAAACAATCAAGTTCTCAATTACAAAATTTTTAACAAAAACATTTCCTTTACTAACTTAATATTAATTTACCATTTTCATCACTATTGCTAAAACTGCTGTCGCTGCTGCTGCTGCTGGCTTGTGTTTCTTGTGGAAATGCTAGTAAACTATCAACATTTACTAATGAGGCAGTTGATGTTGCAAATTCCTGAGCATTGGGTAATGTTGCTATAGCAGCTTTTGTACTTCCGATTATTGCTGCAGCAATAATAACTACAAATTGCAACATAAATAATTGCATTTTGGTTTATTTTTCTTTTTGTTTCTTTATTAATTTAACTCTTTTGTTTAGAGTTTTAAACAACAAAAGGAAGTAATTTTAATATTTTGTTTTTAAACACTTTTTTTCAAAACTAATTTTTTAAACACTTTTTCTAACAAAGTTTGTTTATAAAATTTTTTATTAAAATTCCTTTTTTTGTTAAATTTTTAAAAGATTTTTTTGTTCAATTTTTTTTTAATTTTTTCTTTAAACCGCACTTTTATAAGTTAAATCTTGTACTGTTGCTTTTTAACGTTTATTTATAGGTTTTATACTCAAGTTTTTGTCAAAATATGTTTTTTTTGTTAATTTTTTTTTTTTTTTTGCAATTCGTTAGTGTGTGTGTTGTTGTGTTTGCCTGTAAAGTCTTTAAGTTTGTTGTATGTTGGGCTATTTTATATTATTTTGTTTGTTTTTTAAATAAATATTTAAATATAAAAGCTTTTATAAAAACAGCTTTTATTGCTTAAAGCTTTTTTCTTACTACAAAACTACTAAAGAAAAACATAAACGCTGTTATCTTTTCTACTTTAATGTTAATCATATTTTCTTATAAATTTCAAATATTTTAATTGTTCTGATTTACTCAAGGTAGTTTTCAGTTAAGTAATTAACTAATTTTCTTACAAAAATAACCATAAAAAACAATAAAAATTCACTAATTCATCGGCACGTTTGTTGCTTAAGTCTTTTGTTTTTCATGTAATGACTTGTCAAAGACCTCATAAATTAAACTCTACAACAACAATAAATCTTTTAATATAATAAAATAAGTTTAAAAGTTAATTAATTTTATAAAATTCGTTAGTTCTAAACCTTTAATCTTCTTTAGTTTAAAACATAATCTCTAAATTATAGCAAAATTGTTTTAACAAACGTTTAATGAACTGTTTAAATTTAATTGTTACTAGTAATTTGTCAACTGTCTATTAAAAAACGTCAATTAAACAATAAATAATTTACTATAGACTTTAAACTTAATAATAATATTCTTTTTTTAACTAAAAGTATTAAGTAATAAACTTTTTTTTGGTAAATAACTAAAATCAAAATTAGTTTTATTTTTAAGCTTTCTTCTGACACCGAAAATTCTTTATAATTAAAACAACAACTATTAAAAAAAAATTGTTTCCAAAATAAAAAATATAATTATTTTTGTAAGAAAAAATATTTTCACTTATTATTTGCTTCTAATTTAGACAAATTACGATATTTTCTAAAAATATTAAAAATCAAAATTAGTCTTGATTCATAGCTTTTATTTGGTATATAATACTTTTTTGATAACAATTAAGAACAAATTTTAAAAAATTTCGCAAAATGGAAACAAAAAGAGGAAAAAAATTATTTAGTCACATTCTTAGCTTAGAATTTCATAAAAGCAGCATAACCGAAAAAAATAACAAAAATCAAAATTAGCTTGGAATCTTAGCTTTCATTTGATATATAATACTTTTTAAAATTAATAACGTAAAAATTTAAACAAAATCACTTAATAGAGAAAAACAAGTAAAATAACCAAAAACATAAATATTTGTCGAAATTTGGGAATTATAATTTCATAAAGCCATCATTTATGGAAAAATTAATAAAAATCAAAATTAGTTTGGAATCTTAGCTTTCATTTGATATATAATTCATTCCAATATCAAAAACGTAAAAATTATAAAAAATCACTTAATAGGAAAAAAGTAAAATATCAAAAAAATAAATGAATATGTATTTGTCTCAATTTTTGGATTATTATTTCAGAAAAGCATCACTTATGGACAAATTAATAAAAATCAAAATTAGCTTGGAATCTTAGCTTTCATTTGATATATCGATATCGATAACGTAGAAATTATAGAAAATCACTTAAGCGACAAAATTACTTAATCGGAAAAAAGTAAAATATCAAAAAAATATGTATTTGTCTCAATTTTTGGCTTATTATTTAAGAAAAGCATCACTTATGGAACAATTAATAAAAACCAAAATTGGTTTGGAATCTTAGCTTTCATTTGATATATAATTCATTCCAATATCAAAAACGTAAAAATTATAAAAAATCACTTAATCGGAAAAAAGTAAAATAACAAAAAAAATAAAAATATGTATTTGTCTCAGATTTTAGCTTATAATTTCAGAAAAGCATCACTTATGGACAAATTAATAAAAATCAAAATTAGTTTAGAATCTTAGCTTTCAATTGATATACAATACTTTTTAATATTTATAACGTAAAAAATTTCAAAAAATCACCAAATTTTAAAATAATAAAACAGGAAAAATACGAAAACAAATATATGTCTCAATTTTTAGCTTATAATTTCAAAAAAGCATAATTTATGGACAAATTAAGAAAAATCAAAATTAGCTTAGAATCCTAGCTTTCATTTGATGTATAATACTTTTTAATATCAATAACGTAAAAATTATATAAAAATCATTTTATCGGAAAAAGTAAAATATCCAAAAAACAGATATTTCTCTAACATTTTAGCTTATAATTTCAGATAAGTTTCATTTATGGAATAACTAATAAAAATCAAAATTAGCGTGGAATCTTAGCTTTCATGTGATATATAATACTTTTCAATATCGATAACGTTAAAATTATAAAAAATCACTTAAACGAAAAAAAAACAAGTAAATAATCTAAAAAATAAATATTTGTCTAACTTTTGAGCTTATAATTTCAGAAAAACATCATTTATGGAAAAATTAATAAAAATCAAAATTAGTTTGGAATCTTAGCTTTCATTTGATATATAATACGTTTTAGTATCGATTACGTAAAAATTATAAAAAATCACTTAAACGGAAAAAATAAAATATCAACAAAATATGTATTTGTTTAAATTTTTGGCTTATAATTTCAAAAAAGCATCATTTATGGACAAATTAAGAAAAATCAAAATTAGCTTAGAATCTTAGCTTTCAATTGATATATAATACTTTTTAATATTTATAACGAAAAAAATCACCAAATTTTAAAATAATAAAACAGGAAAAATACAAAAACAAATATATGTCTCAATTTTTAGCTTATAATTTCAAAAGAGCATAATTTATGGACAAATTAAGAAAAATCAAAATTAACTTAGAATCCTAGCTTTCATTTGATGTATAATACTTTTTAATATCAATATCGTAAAAATGATAAAAAAAATAATTTTATCGAAAAAAAGTAAAATATCCAAAAAACAGATATTTCTCTAACATTTTAGCTTATAATTTCAGAAAAGCATAATTTATGGAATAACTAATAAAAACCAAAATTAGCATGGAATCTTAGCTTTCATGTGATATATAATACTTTTCAATATCGATAACGTAAAAATAATAAAAAAATCACTTAAGCGAAAGAAAAAAACAGTAAATAATCCAAAAATAAATATTTCTCTAACATTTTAGCTTATAATTTCAGAAAAGCATCATTTATGGAATAACTAATAAAAATCAAAATTAGCATGGAATCTTAGCTTTCTTGTGATATATAATAGTTTTCAATATCGATAATGTTAAAATTATAAAAAATCACTTAAGCGACAAAAACAAGTAAATAATCCAAAAAATTAATATTTGTCTCAGATTTTAGCTTATAATTTCAAAAAAGCATAATTTATGGACAAATTAAGAAAAATCAAAATTAGCATGGAATCTTAGCTTTCATTTGATATATAATACGTTTTAGTATCGATTACGTAAAAATTATAAAAAATCACTTAAACGGAGAAAGTAAAATATCCAAAAAATTTATATTTGTCTTAATTTTTAGCTTATAATTTTAGAAAAGCATCATTTATGGTCAAATTAAGAAAAATCAACATTAGTTTGGAATCTTAGCTTTCAATTAATATATAATACGTTTTAGTATTATATATTACGTACAAATTTTAAAAAATCACTTAAACGGAAAAAAATAAAATATCCAAAATACAAATATTAGTCTCAGTTTTTAGTTTATAATTTCAGAATAGCATAATAACAGGAAAAACGAAAAAAAAAAACAAGTAAATAATCTAAAAATAAATATTTGTCTAACTTTTGAGCTTATAATTTCAGAAAAACATCATTTATGGAAAAATTAATAAAAATCAAAATTAGTTTGGAATCTTAGCTTTCATTTGATATATAATACGTTTTAGTATCGATTACGTAAAAATTATAAAAAATCACTTAAACGGAAAAAAATAAAATATCAACAAAATATGTATTTGTTTAAATTTTTGGCTTATAATTTCAAAAAAGCATCATTTATGGACAAATTAAGAAAAATCAAAATTAGCTTAGAATCTTAGCTTTCAATTGATATATAATACTTTTTAATATTTATAACGAAAAAAATCACCAAATTTTAAAATAATAAAACAGGAAAAATACAAAAACAAATATATGTCTCAATTTTTAGCTTATAATTTCAAAAGAGCATAATTTATGGACAAATTAAGAAAAATCAAAATTAACTTAGAATCCTAGCTTTCATTTGATGTATAATACTTTTTAATATCAATATCGTAAAAATGATAAAAAAAAATAATTTTATCGAAAAAAAGTAAAATATCCAAAAAACAGATATTTCTCTAACATTTTAGCTTATAATTTCAGAAAAGCATAATTTATGGAATAACTAATAAAAACCAAAATTAGCATGGAATCTTAGCTTTCATGTGATATATAATACTTTTCAATATCGATAACGTAAAAATAATAAAAAAATCACTTAAGCGAAAGAAAAAAACAGTAAATAATCCAAAAATAAATATTTCTCTAACATTTTAGCTTATAATTTCAGAAAAGCATCATTTATGGAATAACTAATAAAAATCAAAATTAGCATGGAATCTTAGCTTTCTTGTGATATATAATAGTTTTCAATATCGATAATGTTAAAATTATAAAAAATCACTTAAGCGACAAAAACAAGTAAATAATCCAAAAAATTAATATTTGTCTCAGATTTTAGCTTATAATTTCAAAAAAGCATCATTTATGGACAAATTAAGAAAAATCAAAATTAGCATGGAATCTTAGCTTTCATTTGATATATAATACGTTTTAGTATCGATTACGTAAAAATTATAAAAAATCACTTAAACGGAGAAAGTAAAATATCCAAAAAATTTATATTTGTCTTAATTTTTAGCTTATAATTTTAGAAAAGCATCATTTATGGTCAAATTAAGAAAAATCAAAATTAGTTTGGAATCTTAGCTTTCAATTAATATATAATACGTTTTAGTATCGATTACGTAAAAATTTTAAAAAATCACTTAAACGGAAAAAAAATAAAATATCCAAAATACAAATATTAGTCTCAGTTTTTAGTTTATAATTTCAGAATAGCATAATTTATGGACAAATTAAGAAAAATCAAAATTAGTATAGATTCTTAGCTTTCATTTGATATATAACACTTTTTAATATCGTTAACATAAAAAGTACAAAAATCACTTAAGCGAAAAAACTAGTAAATAATCCAAAAAATTAATATTTGTCGATATTTTGAGCGTATAATTTTAAAGATGCATCCTTTAGGGAAAAATTATAAAAAATCAAAATTAGTATAGATTCTTAGCTCTCATTTGGTATATAATACTTTTGTATATCAATAACGTATAAAAATAATAAAATCGCTTAATCGAAAAAACAAGAAAAATATAAAAAAAACTAATATTTGTCTAAAATTTTATAATTTCAGAAAAGCATCACTTATGGATAAATTAATAAAAATCAAAATTAGTTTGAAATCTTAGCTTTCATTTGATACACAACACTTTTTAGTAACAATATTCAAAGTAATTTAAAAAATTTCTTTAACAATTGAAATTTTAATAGTTTATTGTAAGCAAAAAATTTCCTAATTATAAACTTTAAAAAAATTCAAATTTTTACTTTGTTTACATTTTTTTGCGAAATTTTTTTTACCTTGAATTAAACAAAATATTTATTTTTGAAAAAAATCAAATAAAACTTTATATTAATAACGGGTGTAAATATTTAAAGCAAATAAAACTTTGTAATTTAAAGTAAATAAAATAATAATTTTAAACATAAAGGGAAATAATTTAAATAATATAAATGTTTAATTTACTTAATAATGTAACCAATTAAGTAAAATTTCTCAATTATAAATATTAGATAAAATAACAATACTGATTTCCTCCTCTTTAATATTTACCCGCATTTTACATTTAGTGTGAAAGAAGCATTTTTATACCCTACACCACTTTAGTGGGGAGGGTATATTGGATTTGTGCTGATGTTTGTAACATACAAAAATAAGGTACAGATCGCAATTTTCAAGATAATTGGATGAAATTTGGCACGCACGTTTTATTTGACCCAAGGACGAAGCCTATTGAAAATGGTTAAAATCGGTCCATTATTTCACCTAGCCCCCATAGAACAGAACCCCCCGAAAAGTGCTTTTGAGCTCATAATTATGTTAAATATACAGATATATCGATAAAATGCGGCACAACTAAGTTTTATAGAAGTCTTGATGACCCTGCCAAATTTCATAAAGATCGGGCCCCATTTGACCCTAGCTCCCATACAAAGTCCCCTTCAGAAAATTACTTGAATGTCCCAAATTTACTTATAAACACAAATATCGCGATGAAATTTAGCAGAATAAAATATTATGTAAATATAAATATATTCACAAAATTTTATCGGGCTTGGTCCATATTTGCCCCTAGCCCCCACATAAAGCCTCTTTCAGAAAATTAGTTTTTCATCCATAAATTGCTTAAATGTATCGGAACAAGGGAATATTGAAGATAAATGCTTTATTATGAAAAATAAATCACATTTAATATTCATAACTGGTGTAGGGTATCATATGGTCGGCCACGCCCGACTATACTTTCTTACTTGTTTTAATAAAAGTTTTTGCAACTTCATATTTTCATATAAAATTTAATGTTTAACAATAACCGTTAATTTCTATACATTCAGCCAAAAACAAAAATTCAACTAATATCTTTAAATATTCAAGCCCTTAAATGCTTTTTATCTTTTTTTTCAAAAACATTATAATAAATCTAATTACTTGTTACATTATAGGCATATTAATGAGAAACAACAAAACTATTTCAATTCCCTACCGTTTGTCAGACAATTTATTTGTTAATAATTTTTTTTATTTAATTTAATTGCTGAAATCATTTACAGAATCTTTGTAAAAGCCTATTTAACATTTTCTAAACGTTTACTTTACATCAGTTAAGTTAACATACATACGGTTTTAAGATTTTAAGCACGTTTAACCTTGAGTTGCAGTTACATATTTTTATAGAGTTTCTTGATAAATTGAAATCAATTTTAGGAAAATTTTGTTTACAAATAAAACTTAATGTTATTAATAATTTACAAAATTATTAACATTTTAAAATATACAAATATATAAAGACTACTAGTCTAGTCTATAGTTCGCAGTCTGGTCTATATTATAAACTATAGAGCAGCAAAGTCTATAGTCTATTCTATTCTATCTATTCTAGTCTAGTCTACAGTCTAGTCTACAGTCTAGTCTACAGTCTAGTCTACAGTCTAGTCTACAGTCTAGTCTACAGTCTAGTCTACAGTCTAGTCTACAGTCTAGTCTACAGTCTAGTCTACAGTCTAGTCTACAGTCTAGTCTACAGTCTAGTCTACAGTCTAGTCTACAGTCTAGTCTACAGTCTAGTCTATAGTCTAGTCTATAGTCTAGTCTATAGTCTAGTCTATAGTCTAGTCTATAGTCTAGTCTATAGTCTAGTCTATAGTCTAGTCTATAGTCTAGTCTATAGTCTAGTCTATAGTCTAGTCTATAGTCTAGTCTATAGTCTAGTCTATAGTCTAGTCTATAGTCTAGTCTATAGTCTAGTCTATAGTCTAGTCTATAGTCTAGTCTATAGTCTAGTCTATAGTCTAGTCTATAGTCTAGTCTATAGTCTAGTCTATAGTCTAGTCTAGACTATAGACTAGTCTATAGTCTAGTCTATTGTCTAGTCTATAGTCTAGTCTATAGTCTAGTCTATAGTCTAGTCTATAGTCTAGTCTATAGTCTAGTCTATAGTCTAGTCTATAGTCTAGTCTAGTCTATAGTCTAGTCTAGTCTAGTCTAGTCTATAGTCTAGTCTATAGTCTAGTCTATAGTCTAGTCTATAGTCTAGTCTATAGTCTAGTCTATAGTCTAGTCTATAGTCTAGTCTATAGTCTAGTCTATAGTCTAGTCTATAGTCTAGTCTATAGTCTAGTCTATAGTCTAGTCTATAGTCTAGTCTATAGTCTAGTCTATCTATAGTCTAGTCTATAGTCTAGTCTATAGTCTAGTCTATAGTCTAGTCTATAGTCTAGTCTATAGTCTAGTCTATAGTCTAGTCTATAGTCTAGTCTATAGTCTAGTCTATAGTCTAGTCTATAGTCTAGTCTATAGTCTAGTCTATAGTCTAGTCTATAGTCTAGTCTATAGTCTAGTCTATAGTCTAGTCTATAGTCTAGTCTATAGTCTAGTCTATAGTCTAGTCTATAGTCTAGTCTATAGTCTAGTCTATAGTCTAGTCTATAGTCTAGTCTATAGTCTAGTCTATAGTCTAGTCTATAGTCTAGTCTATAGTCTAGTCTATAGTCTAGTCTATAGTCTAGTCTATAGTCTAGTCTATAGTCTAGTCTATAGTCTAGTCTATAGTCTAGTCTATAGTCTAGTCTATAGTCTAGTCTATAGTCTAGTCTATAGTCTAGTCTATAGTCTAGTCTATAGTCTAGTCTATAGTCTAGTCTATAGTCTAGTCTATAGTCTAGTCTATAGTCTAGTCTATAGTCTAGTCTATAGTCTAGTCTATAGTCTAGTCTATATCTAGTCTATAGTCTAGTCTATAGTCTAGTCTATAGTCTAGTCTATAGTCTAGTCTATAGTCTAGTCTATAGTCTAGTCTATAGTCTAGTCTATAGTCTAGTCTATAGTCTAGTCTATAGTCTAGTCTATAGTCTAGTCTATAGTCTAGTCTATAGTCTAGTCTATAGTCTAGTCTATAGTCTAGTCTATAGTCTAGTCTATAGTCTAGTCTATAGTCTAGTCTATAGTCTAGTCTATAGTCTAGTCTATAGTCTAGTCTATAGTCTAGTCTATAGTCTAGTCTATGGTCTAGTCTATAGTCTAGTCTATAGTCTAGTCTATGGTCTAGTCTATAGTCTAGTCTATAGTCTAGTCTATAGTCTAGTCTATAGTCTAGTCTATAGTCTAGTCTATAGTCTAGTCTATAGTCTAGTCTATAGTCTAGTCTATAGTCTAGTCTATAGTCTAGTCTATAGTCTAGTCTATAGTCTAGTCTATAGTCTAGTCTATAGTCTAGTCTAGTCTACACAGAGGGAAAAGGAAATATACACGCCTGGTACCAAATTGACACCAAATAGTTTATAATTTTTCAATAACATCCGTTGTCAAAGTTTATACATACGAACGACAACACTATGTAATTTTGAAAATGCAATGTTGTCAATATTGCAACAATTCGTTGTCGAAATCTAAATTTTATACACATCCGTTGTCTAAATGTTAACAAACGTGGTAAGCTCACTATTGGCAACGGGTTGTTTGTCAATAGTGAGCTTAGCACGTTTGTTAACATTTAGACAACGAATGTGTATAAAATTTAGATTTCGACAACGAATTGTTGCAATGTTGTCAACATAACATAGTGTTGTCGTACGTATGTATGTATATAATTTGACAACGGATGGTATTGAAAAATTATAAACAGTTTGATGTCAATTTCGTACCAGGCGTGTATATTTCTTTTTCTCTCTGTGTATAGTCTAGTCTATAGTCTAGTCTATAGTCTAGTCTATAGTCTAGTCTATAGTCTAGTCTATAGTCTAGTCTTTAGTCTAGTCTATAGTTTAGTCATTGCGCTAGTCTTAAGTGTAGTCTTTAGTCAAGTCTATAGTCTCGTATGTAGTCTAGTCTGTAGTCTACTGTCCATTTAATAGTATAGTCCCTGGTCGATTATATGTAGACAAGTGATTTTTAATAAAAATTTAAAATATTAAATATATTTATTTAAAATTTGCAATACAACAACATTTTAAATGCCTTAAACATCTATCAAAGTATTCCATCAACTTTTTACTTCAAGAAATCGAATGGCACCATGGCCAAAGCACCATTTAAAGTATCGGTCAAAATAGGCAGCCAGTTGTTGCGTGTTTCGGGTAGAACTATATTAAACAAATCTCGAGAATATTGATTAGCCACATTAAGAACAATATCATCTGAAAATAAATAATATAACGAAATCAATATTATTTTATATCATAAGTTCAAAAACTTACTTAATCTCTGATCGGGAAATATGCCGGTGGCATTAATTTTCGAATCCTTTAATATAGTCGTGGCATTACTTTTCGTTAATTTCAAAAATGTATGACCATCTCTATGTATGACGGAACCTAAGGTCAGCATTTCTACGCCCAAACCCACCATTGTAACATTGAAATCACCTCTAGGTCTTACCCGAACATTATTAACATGCATATCACCCTTATAAGAACCCAAAGCATACATTTTCGGAACTAGCATAGTAAGGCGGGCCTTAAATTTATTGCCTTCTTTTTGAAAATCGACTTTTTTAAATTTCATAGTTGTCAAACCATAGATTAGGGCATATCTTATGGTTATATAGCCAGTAAAGGGACCACTATTGTATTGAAAGGCAGTGGAGTTGAAATGAAGAGGATCCAAGGAGGGTAATTGAAGATATTTATTGCCATCTTTCAGTTTGGGCACCACATTCGAGAGTACTTGTTTTAGACAGGTGCCAAAGTATTTTTGACAATTGGTAACGTCATCAACTGTAAGAGAAGAAAATAATAAGAAGAAGTAAACAACTGATTTAATTGCTATTATTAAAATTAAATATTTAATTGTTTGTTTATGTTATTGTTTAATTTGTTTATAAAGATGAAAGAGATTAAATTGTTAAATGGTTAGTTTAGGAATATTTTTAATTCAAAATAATTGCCATTTTTTGGGAAAATTTTATGTTAAAAAAGACATCAAATGGAATTGTAATGATAACAACAAACATTTTATAAAAAAATTTATGTCAAGACAAAATTTTCTAATGAAATTAATGTCTTAACTCAAAATTTTCTAAAGAAATTTATGTCTTACGACAAAATCTTCTAAAGAAATTGATGTCAAGATAAAATTTAGTTAAGAAATTTATTTCAATGCAAATTTTTCTAAAGAAATTTATGTCAAGACAAGTCTATAGTCTAGTCTATAGTAGTCTATAGTCTATAGTCTAGTCTATAGTCTAGTCTATAGTCTAGTCTATAGTCTAGTCTATAGTCTAGTCTATAGTCTAGTCTATAGTCTAGTCTATAGTCTAGTCTATAGTCTAGTCTATAGTCTAGTCTATAGTCTAGTCTATAGTCTAGTCTATAGTCTAGTCTATAGTCTAGTCTATAGTCTAGTCTATAGTCTAGTCTATAGTCTAGTCTATAGTCTAGTCTATAGTCTAGTCTATAGTCTAGTCTATAGTCTAGTCTATAGTCTAGTCTATAGTCTAGTCTATAGTCTAGTCTATAGTCTAGTCTATAGTCTAGTCTATAGTCTAGTCTATAGTCTAGTCTATAGTCTAGTCTATAGTCTAGTCTATAGTCTAGTCTATAGTCTAGTCTATAGTCTAGTCTATAGTCTAGTCTATAGTCTAGTCTATAGTCTAGTCTATAGTCTAGTCTATAGTCTAGTCTATAGTCTAGTCTATAGTCTAGTCTATAGTCTAGTCTATAGTCTAGTCTATAGTCTAGTCTATAGTCTAGTCTATAGTCTAGTCTATAGTCTAGTCTATAGTCTAGTCTATAGTCTAGTCTATAGTCTAGTCTATAGTCTAGTCTATAGTCTAGTCTATAGTCTAGTCTAGTCTATAGTCTAGCCTATAGTCTAGTCTATAGTCTTGTCTATAGTCTAGCCTATAGTCTTGTCTATAGTCTAGCCTATAGTCTAGTCTATAGTCTAGTCTATAGTCTAGCCTATAGTCTAGTCTATAGTCTAGTCTATAGTCTAGCCTATAGTCTAGTCTATAGTCTAGTCTATAGTCTAGTCTATAGTCTAGTCTATAGTCTAGTCTATAGTCTAGTCTATAGTCTAGTCTATAGTCTGTAGTCTAGTCTATAGTCTAGTCTATAGTCTAGTCTGTAGTCTAGTCTATAGTCTAGTCTAAAGTCTAGCCTATAGTCTAGTCTATAGTCTAGTCTATAGTCTAGTCTATAGTCTAGTCTATAGTCTAGTCTATAGTCTAGTCTATAGTCTAGTCTATAGTCTAGTCTATAGTCTAGTCTATAGTCTAGTCTATAGTCTAGTCTATAGTCTAGTCTATAGTCTAGTCTATAGTCTAGTCTATAGTCTAGTCTATAGTCTAGTCTATATTCTAGTCTATAGTCTAGTCTATAGTCTAGTCTATAGTCTAGTCTATAGTCTTGTCAATAGTCTAGTCTATAGTCTAGTCTAGTCTATAGTCTAGTCTAGTCTATAGTCTAGTCTATAGTCTAGTCTATAGTCCAGTCTATAGTCTAGTCTATAGTCTAGTCTATAGTCTATTCTATAGTCTAGTCTAGTCTATAGTCTAGTCTAGTCTATAGTCTAGTCTATAGTGTAGTCTATAGTCTAGTCTATAGTCTAGTCTATAGGCTAGTCTATAGTCTAGTCTATAGTCTAGTCGATAGTCTAGTCGATAGTCTAGTCGATAGTCTAGACTATAGTCTAGTCTATAGTCTAGTCTATAGTCTAGTCTAGTCTATAGTCTAGTCTATAGTCTAGTCTATAGTCTAGTCTATAGTCTAGTCTATAGTCTAGTCTATAGTCTAGTCTATAGTCTAGTCTATAGTCTAGTCTATAGTCTAGTCTATAGTCTAGTCTATAGTCTAGTCTATAGTCTAGTCTATAGTCTAGTCTATAGTCTAGTCTATAGTCTAGTCTATAGTCTAGTCTATAGTCTAGTCTATAGTCTAGTCTATAGTCTAGTCTATAGTCTAGTCTATAGTCTAGTCTATAGTCTAGTCTATAGTCTAGTCTATAGTCTAGTCTATAGTCTAGTCTATAGTCTAGTCTATAGTCTAGTCTATAGTCTAGTCTATAGTCTAGTCTATAGTCTAGTCTATAGTCTAGTCTATAGTCTAGTCTATAGTCTAGTCTATAGTCTAGTCTATAGTCTAGTCTAGTCTATAGTCTAGTCTATAGTCTAGTCTATAGTCTAGTCTATAGTCTAGTCTATAGTCTAGTCTATAGTCTAGTCTAGTCTAGTCTATAGTCTAGTCTATAGTCTAGTCTATAGTCTAGTCTATAGTCTAGTCTATAGTCTAGTCTATAGTCTAGTCTATAGTCTAGTCTATAGTCTAGTCTATAGTCTAGTCTAGTCTATAGTCTAGTCTATAGTCTAGTCTATAGTCTAGTCTAGTCTAGTCAATAGTCTAGTCTATAGTCTAGTCTATAATCTAGTCAATAGTCTAGTCTATATTTTAGTCTATAGTCTAGTCTATAGTCTAGTCTATAGTCTAGTCTATAGTCTAGTCAATAGTCTAGTCTATAGTCTAGTCAATAGTCTAGTCTATAGTCTAGTCTATAGTCTAGTCTATAGTCTAGTCTATAGTCTGTAGTCTAGTCTATAGTCTAGTCTATAGTCTAGTCTATAGTCTAGTCTATAGTATAGTCTATAGTTTAGTCTATACTCTAGTGAATTTATGTCAAGACTAGTGTCTAAGACAAGTTTCTGTTCTGAAATTTTATTTCATGATAAAAATGTTAAAGGAAATTTATGTTAAACCATAACTGCATACAGTATCTACTGGATAAGGTTAATAAATTTTTCAACCTTGCAATAAATTATGATCATGTTTTCTTATCCATGACAACTGAAGGGTGTCAATAATTCGACCGTAACCATAACTTTGACATTTCTTATGACCTGCTTGACTATAACAGAAGATTTTTCTGTTTGTAAAAAAGAACTTGGGCAGAACGCCTTAGAAATCTTGAAATATTTCAAAACTTATAAAATATAGATGATTTTGTTTTGTTTTTTTTTTTTTTTGCTCAAGGTCGTCACGTACTAAAACATTTTTTATAAAAAAAAATAACAGAAAAATATTTTAACATAAAAAATTGAGACACAGTTCAAGAAAATAATAATTGCTTTTGAAAAAAAAAATATTTGAGACAATGACATAATTATGTTTTTAAAAACTATTAAAATTGATAAAAATCTTTATTTTACCTTTAAAATATTTGGGCAAATTTGTTACAGAAGTTTCGGTAGTAGATGGAGTAAAGAATTGTTCTAGAGTTGAAGAATTTTGTTCGGGATATATAAGCTCCCAACTGGAGGTGGTATCATTATCCTGGTATTCATTTAGAGGAGTTGAAGTGGTAGTAGTTGAGGAAGTTTCTTCAGGAATAATTGAGCTTGTTGATAGATTTTCTATTTGTGAATTTAAATCCTTTTTCATAGAAGATATATCTGAAGAATCCTCTTTATTCGCATCTAAATTGTCTAAAGTTAAAGAAATTAATTCTTTATCCTCCAGTAAACTAAATTCTGTTGTGGTTGATGGAGCCGCATTCTCCTTAGGAGTAGCTTCAGTTGTAATTTCAGCAGTTGTATTATTATTTAATAATTCTTCACTTTTTATATCCTTTAATAGGAAACTTATTAAAATCACTAAAACACTTTTAAAAACTAACATTTTTTTTGCTGCAGAATTTTTCTATAAATTTTCAAATGCAACTTAAGCCTTCAACGTTCATTTTACAACTGTTTTGTGGCCTTTAGCATAGTTTTCGTTCTAAACAATTTTTCTTCTTAAAAACTAAAGTTTAAAACAAAACTTGTATTTTTAATAAATTTTAAATAATGCATTTTATCTATGTTTTGCAGCCGCAGTGCTTGCCCTGGCTTAGAGTTCAATGTTTAAAGATTTGAACATGAATTTGGACTCGCAAAAGAATATTGGTCAATGTCAGCAAAAACAAGTTTACTTTGAGACAATTTGCTGCATAAAAATTAATAAATTATTTATAAATTTTGTTATCTAAATCAATTCAAAGCAGAAAACTTTAAAAGAGAAGGTTTCCCCTAATGCAGAAACAAATTAAATAAAATATTTGTCTAAGACATGTATGTCAAGACAAAAAATTTCAAAAGAAATTTATGTCAAAACAAAAATTTTCCAAAGAAATTTATGTCAAGACAAAATTTGTCAAAAGACAAGACAAAAAAATTCTAGTCTAGTCTTTAGTCTAGTCTATAGTCTAGTCTAGTCTATAGTCTAGTCTATAGTCTAGTCTATAGTCTAGTCTATAGTCTAGTCTATAGTCTAGTCTATAGTCTAGTCTAGTCTAGTCTATAGTCTAGTCTATAGTCTAGTCTATAGTCTAGTCTATAGTCTAGTCTATAGTCTAGTCTATAGTCTAGTCTATAGTCTAGTCTATAGTCTAGTCTATAGTCTAGTCTATAGTCTAGTCTATAGTCTAGTATATAGTCTAGTCTATAGTCTAGTCTATAGTATAGTCTATAGTATAGTCTATAGTCTAGTCTATAGTCTAGTCTATAGTCTAGTCTATAGTCTAGTCTATAGTCTAGTCTATAGTCTAGTCTATAGTCTAGTCTATAGTCTAGTCTATAGTCTAGTCTATAGTCTAGTCCATAGTCTAGTCTATAGTCTAGTCTATAGTCTAGTCTAGTATAGCCTATAGATATTTATGGCAAGACAAAAAAATTCGAATGAAATTTATGTCAAGACAAAATTTAAATGAAAATTATGTCAAGACAAAAAATCTCAAAAGAAATTTATTGCAAGACAAAAGTTTTCAAAAGAAATTTGTCTTGACATAATTTTTCTAAACAAAATTATGTCGAAATAAATTTTTTAAGATTATTATGTCAAGACAGTTATGTCTTGACATAACTATAGTCTAGTCTATAGTCTAGTCTATAGTCTAGTCTATAGTCTAGTCTATAGTCTAGCCTATAGTCTAGTCTATAGTCTAGTCTATAGTCTAGTCTATAGTCTAGTCTATAGTCTAGTCTACAGTCTAGGGTATATTCTATAGTCTAGTCTATAGTCTAGTCTATAGTCTAGTCTATAGTCTAGTCTATAGTCTAGTCTATAGTCTAGTCTATAGTCTAGTCTATAGTCTAGTCTATAGTCTAGTCTATAGTCTAGTCTATAGTCTAGTCTATAGTCTAGTCTATAGTCTAGTCTATAGTCTAGTCTATAGTCTAGTCTATAGTCTAGTCTATAGTCTAGTCTATAGTCTAGTCTATAGTCTAGTCTATAGTCTAGTCTATAGTCTAGTCTATAGTCTAGTCTATAGTCTAGTCTATAGTCTAGTCTATAGTCTAGTCTATAGTCTAGTCTATAGTCTAGTCTATATCTAGTCTATAGTCTAGTCTATAGTCTAGTCTATAGTCTAGTCTAGTCTATAGTCTAGCCTATAGTCTAGTCTATAGTCTAGTCTATAGTCTAGTCTATAGTCTAGTCTAGTCTATAGTCTAGTCTAGTCTAGTCTATAGTCTAGTCTATAGTCTAGTCTATAGTCTAGTCTATAGTATAGTCTATAGTATAGTCTATAGTCTAGTCTATAGTCTAGTCCATAGTCTAGTCTATAGTCTAGTCAATAGTCTAGTCTATAGTCTAGTCTAGTCTATAGTCTAGTCTATAGTCTAGTCTATAGTCTAGTCTAGTCTATAGTCTAGTCTATAGTCTAGTCTATAGACTAGTCTATAGTCTAGTCTATAGTCTATTCTAGTCTGTAGTCTAGTCTATAGATATTTATGGCAAGACAAAAAATTTCGAATGAAATATATGTCAAGACAAAATTTAAATGAAAATTATGTCAAGACAAAAAATCTCAAAAGAAATTTATTGCAAGGCAAAAGTTTTCAAAAGAAAATTGTCTTGACATAATTTTTCTAAACAAAATTATGTCGAAATAAATTTTTTAAGATTATTATGTCAAGACAGTTATGTCCAAACAAGTTTTTCTAAGGAAAATTATATTAAGACAACAATTTCCAAAAGACATTTATGTCAAAGAAAAAAATTAAAAGAAATTTATGTCAAGGCCAAAAAATTATAAGAAATTTATGTCAAGACAAATGTTTTCAAAAAAATGTTTGTCAAAGCTCATTTTTCTGAACAATATTATGTCAAGAGAATTGTTTCTTATGAAAATTATGTGAAGACAAAGCTTTTGTAATGAAAATTATATCAAGACAAATTTCTTTAAAGAAAATTATGTCAAGACAAATTTCTTTAGAGAAAATTATATCAAGACAAGTTTGTCTAAGTTTTTCTTGACATAAATTTCTTTAACAAATATTGTCTTGACATAAATTTCAACGATAAATTTTGTCTTGACATAAATTTGTTTAATACATTTTGTCTTGACATATGTTTCTTTAATAAATATTGTCTTGACATGATTTGTTTTAATAAATTTTTTTCTTGACATAAATTTCTTTAATAAAATATGTCTTGACATAAATTTGTATAATAAATTTTGTCTTGACATAAATTTCTTTAATATATATTGTCTTGTCATAAAATTGTTTAATAAATTTTGTCTTGACATAAATTGGTTTAATAAATTTTTGTCTTGACATTAATTTGTTTAATAAATTTTTGTCTTGACATAAATTTCAAGGTTTTGACAAAAATTTATTTAATAAATTTTATCTTTACATATTTTTAAATAATTGTTTAATATATTTTTAAACAATTTAATTTCTTCAATGAATTTTTTCTTGACATACATAAATTTCCTTAGACAAGTTTATCTTAGACATAAAATTCTTTAATAAATTTTGTCTTGACATAAATATCTTTTGTCTTAAACATAATTTTTGTAGAAAATTATGTCTTACATAAAGATTTAAAAAAAGTTTTATATCTTTGACATAATTTTCTTTAAAACATTTTGTTTTGGCATAAATTTTTTTAATAAATTTTATATTGAAATCAATTTCGTTAATAAATTTTTTATTGACATATATTTCTTTAGCAAATATATGTCTTAGACACAAATTTCTTCAATAATTTTTGTCTTTGGAAAAAATTTCTTTAATACATTTTGTCTTGACATAAATTTCTTTAATAAATTTTGTCTTGACATAATTTTTTTTAATAAATTTTGTCTTGACATACATATTTTTAATAAATTTTGTCTTGACATAAATTTCTTTAAAAAATTTTGTCATGAAATAAATTTCTGTAATAAATTCAGTCTTGACATAAATGTCTTCTTTTATAAATTATGTAATGGACATAAATTTTCTTTAGATAAAATTTTCTTGAATTTTTTAGAAAGATTTTGTGTTAGAAAATTTTTAAGAAAATTATGTCTTGACATAAACATTTTTTTTTCTTTGACATAATTTTCTATTTTTTTTTTTTTAATTTTTCTTTAGAAAATTTTGTCTTTGACATAATTTTCTTTAAAACATTTTGTTTTTTTACAAAATTGTGTGTTAAGACATAATGTCATTAGAAACTTTTGTGTTAAGACATAATTTTAGTTTAGAAATAAATTTTCTTTTTAAAATTTTGTTTCGGACAAGATTTCTTTGGAGAATTTTGTCTTAAACATAAAATTTTTTTAGAAAATTTTGTTTTAACATAAAAATTATGTCTTAACATAACTTTTTTTCAACAAAAATTTTTTAATTCAAATGATATTGTATAGGTTTTCTTCAAAAGCCCTTTATTTTCAGTTTTATCTTATGTTTAGAAGAAGATTAATCCCCTTTTAGAACAGCATCCACCATAACATGAGAAAAGTATTCATTGCTTAATTTAACAAATTCTGGCTCCCAAGCTGCACGAGTCTCAGGTACCAAAGACTTGTAAATGGTGCGCCAATTTTGATTAATAAACTCAAGTATAGCCTCATCTGTAACAAGAAATATGAATCAATTTTCTCTGAAAATTATAAAAAAATGTTATAAATTTTTACTTAGTAAAGGTTCGGGCAATAAACCCTCTGCATAGAATTTCATATTGCCCACAATAGGATCAAAATTAAAAGTTTTAAGACGCATATAACGATGACCATCACGTTCGTACAATTCCGAAGTGGTTTCAATGTCAACATCAATATTGGCTAAAGTATGATAAAGCTTTAATAAATCTTTTCAAATTTTATATTTTTTCCTAAACACTTACTCAAGGTCACATTAAATGGTCCCTTTGACGATATATTAGCTGCATTTAATTTAATTTTTGCCTTATACATCCCCTCGGCAAACATTTCTGGTATAAAAGATTTAACCTTAAAGTTCACTTGACTTCCCTCACGTTTAAAGTCCAAACTTTTAGTAATCACTTTGCTTAAGCCATGTATTTTAAGATTGCGTACTGCAACTTTTCCCTGCACTATGGGATGAGAGAAAATATAGCTTGTTCTATTAATAACAAACGGGTCCATGGGTGGTACATTGATTTCCGGTATGCCATCTTTAGAACGTGGTATCATATCAGCAAAAACCTTGAGCAGACAATCGTTGAGATTTACATCCTTTTCATTGCAGGTGGGTATAGGGGCTGGAAAAGAAGGGGAATATTTTTATTAAATTGTTTAGCTCTTCTATTTGTTTATTTAGATAATTATTTGTTTGCTTAATTTGTTTATATTTGTTCATTTTTTTATTAGTTATTTTATTTATCTTTCATCTTTGAAACGTGACAAATTTCAAACAAATGAATTTGTTTTAAAGTTTTCAAGAGCATCGACCTTTTTAATGGCTAAATCTTCAGTTAACTGGTAAATAATGTAAATAAGGAAATTAAACTCAAGTCAACAAATCCAAAGCTCGATCTTATTTTGTGATCTCTTATCACTTATATCATAAAATGGTCTGCAATTTTTTTAAAAACGCATTTAAAATGAAAAATTAATATGCATTATCATTTTGTTTAAATAATTCACAAGGCTTTTTTGCCATTTGTATAATATTTAACTATATTCCCACTTAAAATAGTTACAATATAACTGCACAAAAAAAGCACACAACTAGTTTTAATTAAACTCATTAAATATCTGTATTCAAATTAGAAATTTAAATTTGATCTTAACTGAACTTAAATAGAACTAGAATATAACTAGAACAGAACTAAATCAGAACTATAACACTAGAACTAGAATAGAACTAGAATATAACTAGAACAGAACTAGAATAGAACTAGAACAGAACTAGAACAGAACTAGAACAGAACTAGAACAGAACTAGAACAGAACTAGAACAGAACTAGAACAGAACTAGAACAGAACTAGAACAGAACTAGTACAGAACTAGAACAGAACTAGAACAGAACTAGAACAGAACTAGAACAGAACTAGAACAGAACTAGAACTCAACTAGAACTCAACTAGAACTCAACTAGAACTCAACTAGAACTCAACTAGAACTCAACTAGAACTCAACTAGAACTCAACTAGAACTGAACTAGAACTGAACTAGAACTGAACTAGAACTGAACTAGAACTGAACTAGAACTGAACTAGAACTGAACTAGAACTGAACTAGAACTGAACTAGAACTGAACTAGAACTGAACTAGAACTGAACTAGAACTGAACTAGAACTGAACTAGAACTGAACTAGAACTGAACTAGAACTGAACTAGAACTGAACTAGAACTGAACTAGAACTGAACTAGAACTGAACTAGAACTGAACTAGAACTGAACTAGAACTGAACTAGAACTGAACTAGAACTGAACTAGAACTGAACTAGAACTGAACTAGAACTGAACTAGAACTGAACTAGAACTGAACTAGAACTGAACTAGAACTGAACTAGAACTGAACTAGAACTGAACTAGAACTGAACTAGAACTGAACTAGAACTGAACTAGAACTGAACTAGAACTGAACTAGAACTGAACAACTAGAAACTGAACTAGAACTGAACTAGAACTGAACTAGAACTGAACTAGAACTGAACTAGAACTGAACTAGAACTGAACTAGAACTTAACTAGAACTGAACTAGAACTGAACTAGAACTGATCTAGAACTGAACTAGAACTGAACTAGAACTGAACTAGAACTGAACTAGAACGAACTAGAACTGAACTAGAACTGAACTAGAACTGAACTAGAACCAGAACTGAACTAGAAACTGAACTAGAACTGAACTAGAACTGAACTAGAACTGAACTAAAACTGAACTAGAACTGAACTAGAACTGAACTAGAACTGAACTAGAACTGGACTCGAACTGAACTGAGGTTAGAGCTGAACTAGAATTAAAAAAGAACAGAGCTAGCACATCGAAATTCAACCCTAAGTTAATGCGGTATTTTGTCGAAAACATTTTGAAATTTTTATAAACTTTAGGAATGAATTTTTTGGCCGTGTGACTTTAATTAAATTTTTTATTTAATCTTTATTTGATATTTTAACACTACTCAAGGTTAAACCAGGCCTAGTTTTTTTAATTTGACAGCTTTATGACGCATTTATGTTCTATTGTTTTATAATATAGCAAATCACACTCACTAGAAACTTTTTTAGAAGCCGCCGATTCCAATGAATCAGCAGCATAAACGAGCAACATATTGAAGCTTAAAATAAATATTATATTTTGTATGTATTTGCCACATATTTTATATATAATTTTTAGTTGCAACTTAAGTCTAAACACTTTTAGTATTTGAAAATTGAAAAACTTTATTTAAACCGTTTTGCTCAAAGTCTGTATTGTATTTAAACTGCTTTTAATCAATAAATAATGTTTTTATTAGAATTTCTAGAAAAAATTGCATAAAAATGTTAAGAATGATTTCTGTTGCTCAACGAGCAGTCTTGGTAGACTTAAAAATACCCTAAGGATTTTATATTATCTTTGAAATTTTTCATCTGTTCAATTTTTTAAAATAACTTTCGAGTTTTTTCTTCCATTGATCCACTTAAATTGTTCATGCATCTTTGTTAATAGTTTTAGCATATATTAGAGTCTATAAGACCGCCTGTTTCTCAAATTCAGTAGTGTCAAGTGCACTGATCTCTAGTCACAGTGTTTCAAGTAAAACTACTCGTAACTGGAAATGTAATCATAATGTTACATTAACAAGTACTATTGAATAATTTAATGCTACCAATTAAATACAAATTTTATTTAATTTTTATGCAAATATAGTAATAAAATAATTAGTAGAAACCTGTACAAAGGGACAGGTTGAGAAACAAGCTAGTCCTGTAACTAATTTGTTCAGAGCTACAGATCGTTTCTCGATCATGGTTGACTGTCTTGTCAACGCAATGTTTGACTTGATCTTATTAACAATGTCAACTCCATTGTTTTAGCCCTGTTCTAGTTTAGTTCTAGTTCAGTTCTAGTTCAGTTCTAGTTCAGTTCTAGTTCGGTTCTAGTTCTGTTCTAGTTCAGTTCTAGTTCTGATCTAGTTCTGTTCTAGTTCTATTCTAGTTCTGTTCTAGTTCTATTCTATTTCTGTTCTAGTTCTTTTCTAGTCCTGATCTAGTTCTGTTCTAGTTCTGTTCTAGTTCTGTTCTAGTTCTGTTCTAGTTCTGTTCTAGTTCTGTTCTAGTTCTGTTCTATTTCTGTTCTAGTTCTGTTCTAATTCTGTTCTAGTTCTGTTCTAGTTCTATTCTAGTTCTGTTCTTGTTCAGTTTTAGTTCTGTTCTAGTTCAATTCTAGTTCAGTTCTAGTCCAGTTCTGGTGCAGTTCTGGTGCAGTTCTAGTTCAGTTCTAGTTCAGTTCTAGTTCAGTTCTAGTTCAGTTCTAGTTCAGTTCTAGTTCAGTCTAGTTCAGTTCTAGTTCAGTTCTAGTTCAGTTCTAGTTCAGTTCTAGTTCAGTTCTAGTTCAGTTCTAGTTCAGTTCTAGTTCAGTTCTAGTTCAGTTCTAGTTCAGTTCTAGTTCAGTTCTAGTTCAGTTCTAGTTCAGTTCTAGTTCAGTTCTAGTTCAGTTCTAGTTCAGTTCTAGTTCAGTTCTAGTTCAGTTCTGGTGCAGTTCTAGGTTCAGTTCTAGTCAGTTCTAGTTCAGTTCTAGTTCAGTTCTAGTTCAGTTCTAGTTCAGTTCTAGTTCAGTTCTAGTTCAGTTCTAGTTCAGTTCTAGTTCAGTTCTAGTTCAGTTCTAGTTCAGTTCTAGTTCAGTTCTAGTTCAGTTCTAGTTCAGTTCTAGTTCAGTTCTAGTTCAGTTCTAGTTCAGTTCTAGTTCAGTTCTAGTTCAGTTCTAGTTCAGTTCTAGTTCAGTTCTAGTTCAGTTCTAGTTCAGTTCTAGTTCAGTTCAGTTCTAGTTCAGTACTAGTTCAGTTCTAGTTCAGTTCTAGTTCAGTTCTAGTTCAGTTCCAGTTCAGTTCTAGTTCAGTTCTAGTTCAGTTCTAGTTCAGTTCTAGTTCAGTTCTAGTTCAGTTCTAGTTCAGTTCTAGTTCAGTTCTAGTTCAGTTCTAGTTCTAGTTCAGTTCTAGTTCAGTTCTAGTTCAGTTCTAGTTCAGTTCTAGTTCAGTTCTAGTTCAGTTCTAGTTCAGTTCTAGTTCAGTTCTAGTTCAGTTCTAGTTCAGTTCTAGTTCAGTTCTAGTTCAGTTCTAGTTCAGTTCTAGTTCAGTTCTAGTTCAGTTCTAGTTCAGTTCAGTTCTAGTTCAGTTCTAGTTCAGTTCTGGTTCAGTTCTAGTTAAGTTCTAGTTAAGTTCTAGTTAAGTTCTAGTTAAGTTCTAGTTCAGTTCTTGTTCAGTTCTAGTTAAATTCTAGTTCAGTTCTAGTTCAGTTCTGGTTCAGTTCTAGTTAAGTTCTAGTTAAGTTCTAGTTCAGTTCTTGTTCAGTTCTAGTTAAATTCTAGTTAAGTTCTAGTTAAGTTCTAGTTAAGTTCTAGTTCTGTTCTTGTTCTAATATAGTTCAGCTCTAGTTCTGTTCTAGTCTGTCTAGTTCTGTTCTAGTTCTGTTCTAGTTCTGTTCTAGTTCTGTTCTAGTTCTGTTCTAGTTCTGTTCTAGTTCTGTTCTAGTTCTGTTCTAGTTCTGTTCTAGTTCTGTTCTAGTTCTGTTCTAGTTCTGTTCTAGTTCTGTTCTAGTTCTGTTCTAGTTCTGTTCTAGTTCTGTTCTAGTTCTGTTCTAGTTCTGTTCTAGTTCTGTTCTAGTTCTGTTCTAGTTCTGTTTAGTTCTGTTCTAGTTCTGTTCTAGTTCTGTTCTAGTTCTGTTTAGTTCTGTTCTAGTTCTGTTCTAGTTCTGTTCTGTTCTAGTTCTGTTCTAGTTCTGTCTAGTTCTGTTCTAGTTCTGTTCTAGTTCTGTTCTAGTTCTGTTCTAGTTCTGTTCTAGTTCTGTTCTGTTCTGTTCTAGTTCTGTTCTCATTCTGTTCTAGTTCTGTTCTAGTTCTGTTCTAGTTCTGTTCTAGTTCTGTTCTAGTTCTGTTCTAGTTCTGTTCTAGTTTTGTTCTAGTTCTGTTCTAGTTCTGTTATAGTTCTGTTCTCATTCTGTTCTAGTTCTGTGCTAGTTCTGTTCTAGTTCTGTTCTAGTTCTGTTCTAGTTCTGTTCTAGTTCTGTTCTAGTTCTGTTCTAGTTCTGTTCTAGTTCTGTTCTAGTTCTGTTCTAGTTCTATTCTAGTTCTGTTCTAGTTCAGTTCTAGTTCAGTTCTAGTTCAGTTCTTGTTCAGTTCTAGTTAAATTCTAGTTAAGTTCTAGTTAAGTTCTAGTTAAGTTCTAGTTAAGTTCTAGTTAAGTTCTAGTTAAGTTCTAGTTAAGTTCTAGTTAAGTTCTAGTTAAGTTCTAGTTAAGTTCTAGTTCAGTTCTAGTTAAGTTCTTGTTAAGTTCTAGTTAAGTTCTAGTTCAGTTCTAGTTCAGTTCTAGTTCTGTTCTAGTTCTGTTCTTGTTCTAATCTAGTTCAGCTCTAGCTCTGTTCTAGTTCTGTTCTAGTTCTGTTCTAGTTCTGTTCTAGTTCTGTTCTAGTTCTGTTCTGTTCTAGTTCTGTTCTAGTTCTGTTCTAGTTCTGTTCTAGTTCTGTTCTAGTTCTGTTCTAGTTCTGTTCTAGTTCTGTTCTAGTTCTGTTCTAGTTCTGTTCTAGTTCTGTTCTAGTTCTGTTCTAGTTCTGTTCTAGTTCTGTTCTAGTTCTGTTCTAGTTCTGTTCTAGTTCTGTTCTAGTTCTGTTCTAGTTCTGTTCTAGTTCTGTTCTAGTTCTGTTCTAGTTCTGTTCTAGTTCTGTTCTAGTTCTGTTCTAGTTCTGTTCTAGTTCTATTCTAGTTCTGTTCTAGTTCAGTTCTTGTTCTGTTCTAGTTCAATTCTAGTTCAGTTCTAGTTCAGTTCTGGTTCAGTTCTAGTTCAGTTCTAGTTCAGTTGTAGTTCAGTTCTAGTTCAGTTCTAGTTCAGTTCTAGCTCAGTTCTAGTTCAGTTCTAGTTCTAGTTCAGTTCTAGTTCAGTTCTAGTTCAGGTCTAAATGAGTTCTAGTTCAGTTCTAGTTCAGTTCTAGTTCAGTTCTTGTTCAGTTCTTGTTCAGTTCTAGTTCAGTTCTAGTTCAGTTCTAGTTCAGTTCTTGTTCAGTTCTAGTTCAGTTCTAGTTCAGTTCTAGTTCAGTTCTAGTTCAGTTCTAGTTCAGTTCTAGTTCAGTTATAGTTCAGTTCTAGTTCAGTTCTAGTTCAGTTCTAGTTCAGTTCTAGTTCAGTTCTTGTTCAGTTCTAGTTCAGTTCTAATTGAATTCTAATTGAGTTCTAATTTAGTTTTAGTTTAGTTTTTGTCGACCCTATGATATCTTTAACGTCGCCTATGTATATTGCTTTTAAATATTCAGAGTTCTCCAAATAATATTATTTTCAAAATTTTATATAATGCTTGTTCCTTAGCAGATCTTACATTTAATCATTCACATATTTATTACAACAATTATATTCATATTAAAAAATAACAAAGTTTTGGTTTAATATATTAACAGTTATTATAACAGTTTACCATTTTAAAATATAGACTTATTCACACAAATTATAAAATTAATCCTTAGTTAGAATCAAGTCAAATGGTAAATGGGAGAAATATTCATTGCTGACTTTAAGGAATTCAGGTTCCCAAGTAGAGCGAGTCTCGGGTATAAGAGATTTATAAACATTGCGCCAATTTTGATTAACGAATTCTAAAATGGCGTCGTCTGGAAAAGAAAAAATTATATTAGTAAAGCGTTTATCCAAAAAATATACAAAACTTACTTAAAATTTGATCTGGCACTAGACCGGTGGCAAAGAATTTCATATTACCCAAAGTGGGATCAATATTAAATTTAGTTAGACGCATATATTTGTGACCATCACGTTCATATAGCTCAGCCTCTGGTGAGGCAATGACATCAATATCAGCTATTGGAATTGAAAAAAAAAATGGAATTAGATTTGGTTTAATTTTTAATTTCCAAAAATACTTACTCATGGTCAAATTAAACACTCCCTTGGAATTCATTATAGCATCATTAATCTTAACTTCAGCCTTATATTTTCCCTCTATGAACAATTTAGGGGTCTTAGACTTAATCTCCAATTTAATGTTGTCTCCATTCTTTTTAAAATCTACACTATTTATTATGGTATCACTGAGACCACTTATTTTGAGATTACGTAAGGCTACTTTGCCTTTGATTATATATTGGTGAATTCATAATTGGTTTTCTCCACTTCCAAGGGATCCATGGGTGGTATATTTAGCTCGGGTATACCATTTTTGGCTCTTGGTATCATTTCCTGATAAGCATTACGTATGCATTCGTTAATGTTGACATCTTTTTCACTGCAAACGGGTACAT